AATAATAATGGCTTATAATAAAAATAATTGTATTAACAACTCACAATTTGTCGGTGAACCGCTGGCCAGCTGGACAACCTGTGCCTGTATAATAAYTTTATAATTGACTCACAACTATAATACAAGTTAACAAAATAATAAAAATGTGCAAGCGGCTATTCGAGCCGGCGCTAACAATATATTGTATATTATATATAATGGTATTATAAAAAACAAAGATGATATCCGGCTATTCGAGCCGAAACATAATATACAAAAACAATGACACTAAATATTAGAATTAGAGCGAATAAATAAATGATTTTGTTACGAATCACGATTACTTGAGAACGAACGATATAACATTATTTAATGACGATTCGCGCCTGCGGATATAATATATATAGGTACGTGTCGACTGTGTGCGACGAACGAACGAACTAATTACTGCACCGCGGTGACTTTTGCCGGTCGATGCCTGGACGCGGCCTTATCTACCTATTGGCTATTATATAACAATCATAAAAATAAATAATAATTGTAACAACCGTATGCGTGTGTGTGTATGTGCGACGGTCGGTGTGGACTATTATGACGCTACCACCGACGCGAACATTCTCCCCCCCCGTTGAAAAATCTATTTTTCAACAGACTCCTCTGAACCGATTGGGAGCTTGCAGAGTTTTGCGACTGGACGGCGCATTGTTTTGCCACAAGAGTTACGTATGGACACAACCCTTACGTTACCGTCACAACCTGGATGTAGTTCTATAACGCGTGCTAAGTGCCACTTAAAGGGCGGTAGGTTGTCTTCCTTGACAATTACTAAATCGTCTATTGCTAGGTTGGARCTTCCTGATGTCCACTTTCCACGGACCTGTAGTTGGGGTAGGTACTCCATGTGCCATCGCTTCCAGAAGGATTGAAATAAAAGATGTACAAATTTCCAACGTCGCATTGCATGTGGTTCTTCGCCATTTAAATCAGGTTCTGGGAACGACGTTACAAGTGCACCGAGTAAGAAGTGCGCTGGGGTAAGTGATGTGAAGTCGTTAGGATCGCTGCTCATAGATGACAGTGGTCGTGAATTGAGGCAGGCTTCAATTTGACATAGCAGCGTACTGAGCTCACTTAGAGTTAGCTTTGCCTCTCCAGTAGTCCTAGTCAAGTTAGCGCTCTTAACTGCTGCTTCCCACAGCCCTCCAAAATGAGGGGTTGATGGAGGATTGAAACGCCAGGGGATCCCTTCATTGGATAGCTGGCTGCCAAGATGTTGAGTATATTTGGTCAACTCCTTGTTCGCTCCAACGAAGTTTGTTCCGTTGTCGCTCCACAGTTCTGCGGGTTTGCCTCGTCTAGCAACAAATCGTCTTAAGGCCGCTATAAAAGCCTTGCTCGTTAAGTCCTCGACTACTAACACACAAATATTGATACCCACGCCTTTGTTCCTGATCAACCCCTGATTCCGCTTCGGATAATTAACGGTCCTGCAAAATCCACGCCCGTGTACGTGAAGGGACGTGAACATTGTACTCTTTCCCTTGGTAATGGTGCCATTATTGGAATTTGAAAGGTCGGTTTGGTCCGTACACACTTCACACACCTCCGAACTGTTGAGCGCGCTAATAGTCTACCGGACAGCGGCCAATACCTCTGCCTGATTTCTGCTAATAATAACTGAGGACCACAATGTAATAATTTCATGTGATAATCTAAGAATATCAACTGTGTAATTCTGTGATTGTATGGAAGAATTATTGGTTGTCTTTGGTCTTGTGAAAGATTGGCATTATCAAGACGACCACCTACTACTATCATGCCATACCGTAGACCGATGTTCAATGACCTTAGCTTGCTTCGACCAGGAATGTCCTTATTTTTTGCTAATGCTTCATGCTCCTCCGGAAAGGCTTCCCTTTGAGCACAAGTTATCAGTCTCTGTTCAGCAACCATTAACTCTTTAACTGTCAGGTAGCGTATTAGTTGTGGGGTACGTTTAGTTTTTATGAATTCAATGAACCGCAGAATCCACGCAGTTGCTCGACGTAGGCGTTG